AATATAACTATTTGTTTTGTTGGCGTTAAGAACAAGCCCAGCATCATGAGACCATTTTGTTAGAAGAGTAAAGTCCGTTTAGATCCGATGTAGTGCGACGTTTATGTTAACGTCTGCAGACACTAAGCACGTCTCGTCTGCAAAGTGATATTTTTCACAGTTGTTGATCGGGCTAATCGTGAACATATGTGATATATCGCACTAGCTCCAGAACAGAGCCGAGTTCCTCCCTAACCTTGACATATAGGGTTCTGTCGTTCCTATAATTCTGACACCATTTGTTTAGAGGACTTTGTACTCCACAGTCATTATAAGCATACTGTGCCTGATTAAAACTACTTTTACGGATTTTATCGCGTTTATTTTTACTTTTTATTTACTTTTATTAAAAGTAAAAATAAACGCGATAAAATCCATAAAAGTAGTTTTAATCATGTATAGTGTTCTCGTAAATATAAGAAATCATCATACTGTGCCTGTTTTATTATTAAGGTGTGTGTAGATAGAATCTGAAAATTTACTTACCTAATAGTTGCGTATTGTTTTTTTAGTTTGGAAAACAAATTGTTTTTTTGTTATGATACTGTTGTCTGAGCAGAAGTCTAATATTTGTCGAGTCTAATATTTTTAAATAATTCATAATTCTTTATTGCATGTCAGAAAGTATAAAGTTGGAACAATATATTTACAGAACATGTGACACCCTGTACGGGCGTAGCACATTAAAACAGAGTTTAAATTTTAATTAATATAGAATTCATTTTCATTTCATTCAAATTACAGTATTTATAGTACACAATATATAAATTATATTATGAAATGTCAGACTAAATAATACTTACACATTTGTTTTAAAAATTAAATTTCATTAAATATTGTCAACTGATCATTTGTCATTTATATTATGTAAATAAAGTTTAAAAAAATTGATGAAAAATACTAACAATGTCAAATATGTAAATAGAAATAAAGAAAATTGACAAATAATTAAAATTGATTTATAATTTATCATTAAAATATTCATTCAAACTGTAATATGTTTTTACAATAAGCATTTTCTTTAGTACTATTTCAAATTTACGACACTGGAGGGCTTTAATTGTATTAGGTAAATGATTGTCAACCCTTATAGCCATGTAGTAGGGACCATTTTTATATAATGTGAGATGTGTGGCAGGAGCAACCAGATTATAACCTCGACGTGTGCCGTAGCGACTGGGTCTATCTTCAAATTGCTGGATGAGGATTTTTCCTAACAAGTCGGCACAATTCAAAAATGTACATGCTCGTTACAGTTAGTAAGTTATATCTGGGGAACAACCTTCGACATGAATCTCTTGGAGCTGCGAATGTGATGATTCTAAGGCAGCATTTTTGGAGCATGGATACCGCGTGTACCTCGGTAAAGTTTCCCCAGAATATGATGCCGTATCTTATCCAGGCAGCTGCGTGGCTGTGGTACGCAGTAAGCGCGCACTGCTCATTAGTATCCTTACGTAGCTCACGCAGGGCATAGCAAAAACTGCTCAACTTACTCACAACTCTTTCTACATGAGTTTTCCACGAAAAAGTTGAGTCTATTATTATCCCGAGGAGTGAAAATGTGCGAACTTCCTCAATATTTATACCTTGGTAAGGTATAGCGAGCGGGACTTCTGATCTCTGATATGGACGAAACTGCATTATTTTGGTCTTTTCAAAATTTAGTATTAAGCCTCTAAAAAAATAAATATATTCCTATAAAACCTCTAATTCATTCACAATTTTTCTAAGACATTGGGTTATTTTTTCCTGCAAACTACTTAGATTTTTTTTGTTTACAAGTAATTATAACTGTCGCGTCATCTGCAAATAAAACGACACTATGTGGTGCTACTGAAGGAAGTTCGTTGATATAAATAGAAAACAAAAAGCATCCTAGGACACTACCCTGTGGTATAGAACCTGTTACTATTGCAGTGGACGAATTTATGTCATTTATCAGTTTTCGATATTCATTTATATGTGATACCTGCATGTACTGTTTTCTATTCGCAAGATAAGAAGAGAGCCATTCGTGCGCTTTCCCTCGTATACCTAGCGAATATAGCTGTTCCAGCAAGGGTCCATGCAAAACGCGATCGTATGCTTTGGACATGTCCATAAAAATAGCTATAGCACATCTTCCTTCATTTAGAGCATTCTGAATTTCTAAGATGCAGTCAAATACAGCGGACGTAGTAGAATGATCTTTTTGGAAACCATGCTGATATTTAACTAAAAATGCTGTATTTTTCAAAAAAATTATATATTTTACTACAAATTATTTTCTAAAAATTTTTTGAAATTACAGACAGTAATGCAATGGGGCGATAATTGGATACAGCAGTTTTATCGCCTTTTTTAAAAATAGGTTTTATCACGGCTAATTTTAGATTTTCCGGAAAAACGCCATCCTTATACGGTTATACGATTGATTTATAAGAAAAGTTAAGGGCTTTACAAACTCATCTACGCAATATATGAGTAGAGTAACTGGGATTTCATCATATCCGCAAGAATTGTTTCTTTTTAGTCCCATTATCGCTCTTTTTACATCAGCTTCTGTAACACTACTAAGATATAGTGAATTTGGCAAGGATACTCGAGATGGCCGCTTATTTAGAGGGGAGCAGTTATTTGAACTTATAGTTATAGGTCAACCGGGGCTAATGCGTCACGATACTTTAAGCGGCATTTTTAACTGATCATATTAATTTAGTTGTATAATTTAAAACAATGTGAATTAAAACATATAACACATTATTTAATAAAATTTTATATTTAAATATTATTTCGTGATATTTTTTAAACCCCTTGCCTGAAAACACCCATTCTTTACAAGTTGAGATTTTTAGACGCAAAAGCCCCAGGTGGGGCAAAGGCGTCTTTAGCAAGTACCACATAATAGGAAGCTTTCGTAACACAATTAATCGAAAAAATATATTATATATATTATATATATACTATTCAGCGATCTATCGCTCATGATATAGCTAGTTATCATCTTATAAGCGATATTCTTGGCTTGGTCTCTCCTATTAAGTCGAACAAAAAATTTGGGGCTATGGCGTCTAATTTATACTTTAAGTGGTAGACGCATTCGCCCCATCCTAAATTCCAGGTGTATCAAACGATTTTTTTCTCATTACTTGTGAGAAAAAAAGTTGCCATTGACATAATTTGCAAACAAGTTCCACTTTTATACACCTAGCATTTATAAATAGAAAAAAAAATCAAACACATTGAAATTAGGTAAATAGTGTATAATAAAAATACGAGTTCTAATAGAAAATAAAAAAAGCGAATACAAAAAAGTATGAGATGTTTTATTCAGTTAATACTGTCATCATTACTAAATTCTTAATAATCAGTTTTTTTAATAGTGTAATCTTATATACCTATTGTATGTTGAATGTTGTATGTAAAAATTTGACTTTAATTGTGTAACATTCGCTAGGTGTGAAGTACCTTAACAAACATTATTATTAATTAATATTAGTTTCATGGGGTATCTATATAGTTTTCTCATCTGGTTGGGTTCTATAAATATATAATTATAAATGAAAATGAAAAAATAAATATACATAAATATCAATAACATAAAATAAATATAAAAGTACATAAATAAATAAAAGCCCAACCAGATGGAGGCCCTAGGCAGGGGAGACCAAACGGCCGAGGGTTAGGGGGAAAGGGAAAGAAACCGGCGGACGATGCGGGCGGTATCGAGGAGCACCGCCTTCTGCATTTGAACCTGGAGCGGTCCGCCACGTAGTCCCAGCCGCCTCAGATGACCCGAGAGGCTGACTGGGATTAACCCGTTTGCAGAGACGACTACAGGAATAATTTCGGTCGGCAGACCACCCCACATGTCGGTCACCTCGTGAGCCAGGTCCAGATATTTTGTTTGCTTGTCTGTTTCGGCTTTCACGAGGTTCTCGTCATACGGAATGGTAATGTCGACCAAAAATATCCTTGACTGTGCCCAGTCCATCAGCACAATATCAGGCTTATTCGCAAGAATAGTCCTGTCTGTGATGATGGCCCGGTCCCAATAGAGCCTGGCGCGATCATTTTCGAGCACGGCTTCCGGCAAGTACTTGTAGTACGGCAATTTCCGGTCCACGAGACCGTATTTCAGAGCGAGCTCCTGGTGTAGAATTCTGGCTACTAGGTTGTGTCTGTGCAAGTACTCAGAGTTAGAAAGCGCCGAACAACCGGAGATAACATGCCTAAGTGACTCACCGGGATGGCGACAAGCTCGACAGATGTCGACGGTGCCATCCTTTAGGATGTATCTCCGATAGTTGTTGGTCTTAATAACCTGATCCTGTATTGCACAGACAAAACCCTCGGTTTCCCCGAAGAGATCACCAAAGCGTAGCCAGTGGAGGGAGGCTACTGTGTCTACGAAAGGCTCATGTAGAGCCTTGTAGAACCTCCCGTGGAGCTCCTTCTCCTTCCATACGGTCTCTCGGTCGGAACTGCTCTGCACTGCCGGGTCTTGCCATTGCTCGTTGGCTAAGGATAGAGGGGTAAGTCCTTTATCACAAGAAATGACGTCCATATAGAATGGATCATCCGATCTCGCCAGGAAGTAATCACGGAGGCTGCACACTTCGCGATTATGCATGGTGAGCGCGCTCAAGAAGCCACGACCACCATGCTTCCGCGACAAGTACAACCTCATTACCGACGATCTCGGATGATGCATCCTATGGGACGTCATGGTAGTGCGGACTTTTCTATCCAGGGCGTTAAGTTCAGTCTGAGTCCACCTGAGTATGCCAAAGGTATACATGAGGACAGGCATGACCCAGCCGTTATATGCGTGTGCCTTATTCACACCGGACAAAAGGCTGTTAAGCTTAGTTTCATTATCATTGTTATCACAATAATCAGGTAATGAGATCACATGCAATTTTATAGATATTGTCACTCTCATTCAGGTCTTCTTAATTACTAAATTAATTTGACAATCACTGAATGTTATACATTTTAAAATTTTCTTTGAAAGTAATATGCTCTCTTCGAGATATATCAGGCTTTTCAAGGAACATTATGATATCATCATCATTCTTTACTTCTGATATATTCTTTACTTCTCCACGTCTGGATAATGAAAGGAAACAAATTTACTATTTTTTATTTTTCTTAAAAATTTGACGTTAGGAATGTTATTGTCATTAATAGAAATGATGGTCCCCACAAAATACTTCACAAACTTTTTTGTTGTGAATCTTATTAGTATCCAATCACTAACTACTAGGTTCTTTTTGTTTAAATTCGGTTCAAATTGTTCAATATTTGTAGTGTCTACATCATTATTTACGTAAGATTTGTCATTATCTTTTTCTTCTGTTGTGGCTTGCAACAAATCTTCGAGAAAGTTATCATCACTTTTTATTTCCGCTAAAAAGTTTTCACGATAGGTATCAAAATCTTCATCAGAAAGTTCAGCAGAACCGGAAACTTCAGCAAAACTAATATCTAATTCACTTTCAGATTCTTCGTCATAATCAAAACACTTCTTTTGTTTCTTAGCTTTCTTTTTAACATTTTTATTAGGTTTTTGCTTAGATAAGCTCTTACTACAAGGTTTTTTTTAATATCTTTGCTTTCATCAGTCTCATCTTGTTGTTGTAATTTTATACAATTTCTTTTTCGATTTTGGTCCAATTCTTTTTTTAATATTTTTTGTTTTGGGGATTTTTATGGCAGTTCTTCCTTTTCTTGCTTTATTTTTTCTTCGTTTCGTTTTTTTTCTATAAACTGTTCTCGCGTTGTTATTTCACACCACCCTAGCAATTTTAGTTTTTTTCAATTTTTTTGTCGAGTCACTTTTCTTTATTGTCTGCAATAATAAAGTTTCGAAAGAAACTCTTTCCGAGGGAGCCAAAATTCTATCTTCAATAATTCTAATTACCTTTGAATCATTAGACTTATCAAATTTAATCTCCTGGTTTGGCAAAACTAATTTTGATGACGCTGCTATGGGATTTTTGCTAATGCTCAACTCTTGGGTAACGGCCGCCAAACTTAACTTTTTTAATGTCTGAATCTGTTTTGGTATCGTTTTATGTTCCCTGAACCTTTTCAATGATTCTGGATCAAATTTTTCGTCTGCAACTACGTTTCTGTCAAATGGATATATGCCCCCTTTTTTAAAGCCATTTTTAATTATTTTTGTGTCTAATTCACGCCACACGCCGTTTCACTCGCGAGAAACCACCTACTTCTTCCAAAGTCTGTTAAAAGCCATACCAAATTTCATCACAATCTGTTCTTTCGTTTAGGCGTGAAAGAGTAACAAATATGCATATATTCATGCATCCATATATAAGTAGGGTATAACTATATTTAAAAAAATGATTTTAGTGTATATGTATTTAGATCAATTATTGCATTATTGTTACCTTAAAATAAAAAGGTTTAGGACCTCATACAATGGGGCTATTGCGTTACAATAGACGGAATCACCCCAATAAGGCAGACGCGATAGCCCCGATAAAGAAACATAACCTAAAATATTTTAACTGCACGTGGACAATTAATCTTTAGGCCTTTACTAAAAACTAATTAAAACAAACCGTAAAACATTTCAGAATGAAAGGTAATAAGTTTGCAACTTTACTTGGAGATGTTATATTTAAAACGTCATTACGTAAACAAATGTTTTCATATTTTACACTTTTAACTTTTTTAGTTTTTTGCCCACATAGTTTTATGTTTATTACGTGACGTTTGCACTCTTTTTATGTAAGATTTTCTTTTTTCTGTGGCTATTATTCTTTTTAGTATTTTGTTGTAGATTTTTGTATAAGATTTTAAGGCTTCATTATTATAGTAGTTAGTAAGATAACGTAAGACACGTTTGTTGTAGCAAAATTTTTTAATGCCTTTTGTTGCCCATCTTGTCTTTTCTTTATTTTGTAATTTATACAATTTTCGTGGAATATGTTCATCTAAAATAGACTTGATTTGGTTCTGAAATTTATTATAGTTTGTATTTATATATCACTCGTTGGGTCATTATATTACACCAATTAATTTCATTTAGTTTAATTCTGAATTTTTTCATATTATTCTCATTAAAAAGTCATTTGTTTATTTTATAAGTAATATTATTTCTATTTATGTTCTCTTCCAGTGGTATTTGTCCATTAAATAACAACAAAAAAAAAATAATTTTATCTATTGTTGGTAGTAGGCATCGTGATTGGACGTTAGTTATCATAATCTATAGTTTGGTATCATTACCTGTTTTGGCTCTGCTGGATATGTACCATTTTGCACAGATGTATTTATAAGGTTATGTAAGTTGCTGAAGTTAAATTGGCCGGAAATACATTATACATTTTTGTATAGTTTATTTCCTATTGTCGCGTACGAGTGACTTCATGCATTTCAATGTGTTAGCTTTATAACTTTGTACATATATTATAACCCAGTTTTAACTTCTTCAGGGAATAGAATAAAATAATACGCATGAGGAATCTAATGATTTAGAAATTTATTTTATTGAGTACAATCGACATCCACCGTAAGAACTTTCTAAACATTCCTTGGGCTCCAAAAAAGGCGCCCGTACAGCAGTCAATGACATAGATGTCGCCACAAACCTTAAAATGGCGATTTTACATTTGAAATGACGAATTTAATACTACAAATCGAAATACTGTTACTACGATATTAATATTAATCATAGAAATACGCAATAAAATCACACAAAATGATTATGTGCGGATGCTTGACATAGTGAAGAGCTTTGGTTATCAAGGTTCCGCACATACGCGTTTTATAAATTTAACGTTTTTAATTTCACAATAATAATCCTATAAGAAGCGAAAAAGGTAGTATTAACACAAATAGTAAAGTGCACTTTTATTATTACTATTCACATAACAGAGCTTTGAGATTTACGTAACGCCTTACAAATTTTTAGTTTTTCAAATAGCGCCCAACCTTTTTATTAGACTACCTAAGCCCGTGTGAAATTTTATCTTAATTTTTGTGATTGTGATTACGTGTAACTTTTTCACTATTTTTTTCAAATACTTGTTTCACTAATTATAAAAATTTTTAGAAATTTAATTAGGTAAGTACTTTTTTATTTCCGGCCTTATAATCGTTTATTATAGCTTACTCAAATTATGTATTGTATTATCTCCATACCTTGTTTGTCTCTGTCTCTTTCTATTGCCAATTATGAAGAGAGAGATATCAATTTTAAGCATTTCTTAACTGACGTTGATTTTTATGAGTAAATTATACATGTACCTACCAGATGAATAATTTTATCGTATGTTTTATTAATAGGTACTTATTATTGTATTGTTGCAAATACTATTAAAAATTTCATCATAAAGGCAAATATACACAGTTAAAATATTAAAAATTTAAATAAATAGGCTCAGTACAAATTATAAGAAAACTATTTTGGTACATATTTGCAAAACAATAGGAACATTCTCGAAGTTAACTATGGACACAAATAAGTCTTAAAACTCTGTCACGTGACTCGTGAAAGGATAATAATATCACAGAGATAGCTGTAACAAGGTGATAATAATTATGTAAGATGAACGAGCTTATATCAAGAAAGCTCGTATATCTTAATCAATTATTGATTTTATAGATAAATTCATATAGATAGTTTCGTAATGATCAAATATTTTTTAAATATTGTCAAACAATAGGATTTCGATCCATTGGAAAGCAATAAAAAATAAAATAAGTGCCTTATACAAAATTTCGGGTTATATTTATGGATGCATTTTTCAAACACGAGTAGACAATGAAAGCTAATAAAAGAAAATTTGAAATAGTTTTTTATAAATATCTTTATAATAGCTAATTATTTATTACGTACATATAGCAAAAATAAGTAAATATAATCTGAAATGACGCACAATAGTTTTGCGAAAGTATAGGGACGTGCGACAACCTTATAACATTAGAAAAGTTGAAATATAATAATTATTACTAGTGGTGGTAAATTATACACTGATGTTTACATTAAATGTAATAGTTTTAAATTACTTAAACACAAAACTAAGTTAAACCGGTTTAATACTGAATGGCAAATGAGGTCACAGAAATAGATAAAGTACGCGACACGGATTATTAGAGCTGACCTTTGCATGCGTAGTTAATGTTTATGTTTGTTTGGTCGCATGAAGTGAAATATAACACCTCAGTATGCATACGAGCCTTAAAGAAGCCCAAATAATATTCAGTGCTCAATATCCGTGCTTACTTTACGATATTTCTCACGCCACTAGTAATAAACAAATCACAAACTGGTAAGTTCGCAAATGACTGAATACTATGATAATAATATTTGACTAATGTAATGGAATTATATTTACATATTATATATTTTTGGCACAGGTATCGTGCATGGTCTGCGAGAACATTGTTACTTAAATGTAAAACTTCTTTTTAAATATTATATTTGTAAAAAGTATACTTAAACCTGTATTAACTACGGGCTTATTCTACAAAAGGTGAGTTTTAGGCCTATGATTTAATGAGACGCTAGGAGAAATGGGTTGTTTAAACTCAATGCTATAACATAAATAGCAATAGCAAAATATTTCTATACATTTTAACATCACAAAAGAATTCTCAATTTCAAATTATTATATGTTAATGGATAAAACAATAATAATGTTATTTTTTATAAAAATAAGTATGCTTAATAATATCAATGTATATTTACAAACTAATTTCTCACTGAACTGATAATTTCAAAAGTAAAGAGTATCTTCTTACGTACAAATAGACATTACAATAGCGGTAATTATTTCGTTACTGGTAAAATCTGTAATAAACGGTATAGTCCGTTAAAACCTGCTGATTCTGTTCACCGACAGCAGCTGTCAAATCGTCGAGAAGAGTCAACACCACGAAAGAAGTTTTATAAATTATTTATGTTTGTTCGACAACAACAACAAATTATAACAATTAAAAACAGTAAGGTTATAATGATATAAATGAAATACGTATGTGTAATAGGTGAACGAAGTGGAAGCCTATTGCATATATATATATATATATTTAAATATTTATAAGAGTAAACTTTTAACTTTGGAAAAAAAAATAAAGGAATGAAAAATATCGAAATTAAATCATATGCACTCTACTTTATACGTGGGGGGTATCAATGAATCTGTGACGCTCTTATTTTGAAACTGGCCGGTAAGAAGTTCAAATTAACTTCAAATCATAGATTTAGAATATACTGGCGTCAAGTCTTATACTATGACTTCAAATATTTATTTCTGAATAATTGGATCAATTTCGTCAATGAGGGCTAATAATTTTCCGCTCACCAGATGTCGCTCGTTGACAAAAAGATTTTTTTACACAATGTCGTTTATAATTCAGAAATTAGTTTTAAATAAAAATTTACCAGTCTCTGTAATATTATATTAATACACAATGGATTGATTGCTCTTTAATTTTTTGCACATTATATCTTTGTTTTTAATTATTCTACTTTTATGAATATCTGTGGTTTGGTTTATTTATTTTTAATTGAGGTTTTTTTGCGAACCAGTGGTAAATGAAAAAAGTGACTTTCAGTAAGTATTGTTATAATCTACATTGAATAAAAAATTCTGATTCTGTTTCTATAAAATATAACTAATGGTACAAAAAGAAACATTAACCTTAACATTTTTTGGATAAATTGACTTTCCCGCTATGAAATCTGTCGAATATTATATCACAATCTTCTTTTTTAAAAGTCGTGGATGGATGGATGGAGTCGTCAATTAAGAAGAATAAATTTAAAAAATATCTATGTATATAGGCTTTTGCTTCATCTAGTACACTCTATTCTTTCCTCATGAAAAAAAAACGCAATCTTTATATGTGATCGGTTTTAAATAATTAAATATTTAAAACCGAGCAGTTACCGTGAATAACAA